CTGTGGTGCGATTTTTGACAAGGGTTTGTAGAGATTACAACACGCCAGCCAAGTAAAAAAATACTCACTGCATTAATTACGTACCACTTGGGTGGATCCAGCTGAAAAAAACGGAACACATTTTACCATTTAGAAATGTTTAAATGAAATGCTCAGTGGTCTCCTTTTTTTTTAAAAAAGCTAATAAATGCCATATTTTTTAAGAAATCTTTTGGAACATTGTTGCCAAGATTATCGCTGAAAAAACAGTTCTGAAAAATTTACACTGTGATTCTTTTTTGATGGTACTGTGTCAGTAAATCAAATTATTTATTTTTCAATATCAGAAAAACAGATAAAAGTATTCGTTATAAATGTGCTTACGTGGGTACTTATTCACATGCATTCATATGATTATACGTATACGTATAGAAAATGAAAATAAAATCAGTTAGAATTTGAAGGTGCGAACTCGAATTATAAAAGGTCATTCATACGCGTTGTCTAGTTTAGGAAAAATAATTAGTTGAATTGGAAAGTGCAACAGTGAAACTAAATTTATAGACAGCATCAACAAAAAAAGTAAAAAAAAAAAATATAAAATATTTGAGAGCCTTATATTTTTTCAGGACGATTCTTAAAGAGCGTATTCGAGCATAGGAATGTAATACAATTGACTGGCGGGTATTTCTAATCGATGAATGGCCTGATAGCTTAAGAGACCGTTCCAAATCTCATTAGACTCGTTTCTACGTGTTTATATTTTTCAGCAAACTAGTAAAAGGAGCAAAGCAAGTCGCCGTTTAAAGTACAAACCTACGTAACAAACATTTGCTGCCGAAAATTGGATTTGCTCACACAAGCTCTTGGCTCAATCCTTATCCATTCGTCCTAAAAGATACTAGCCAGAAATTCTATTGCTTTACAAAAAGATAACCATTTTGAAATATGAGTGTTTTTTTTTGCTCTCTAGAAAATAATTTATGCAACCGCACATACGCGGTTTTGTTATTTAAACGACGAAATCCTTGTGTACCGAAATAATGTGACGAAAGTGAAGTAAACGAAGCGTGAAATTCGCTCCGGCAGGTGGATGCTGCAGATTTGACTTTAACTTGGATCAGAGTTTGGATGAACACACAGTGGAAAATCAGGAAAAGCTATTGGTGCCAGACAAATGTGCACATATATGTATGTATATGTACCTAGACTTGTTGTTATTTATACGTATCTGGCTTGGCTTAACATTTCACTGTGGAAATCTCACCCACATTCGTACATATCGTTACCTGAAATGCAAAAAGACGTAACAAACATCATCGTTGAAATGCAAACAGTCATGTTTTTTTTTATAAATGCGTATTGCAAAATTAAAACCGCAAAACTTAATAGATTCTGTCCTTGACAGATGTAGATTAAAAAGTACGCTTGTCACTGAGTGATACCTCCGACTGAGTTCTAAGGTCAAACATTATTTTAGCCAAGCAAGCGATTAGTTGCTATCATTTACATATGCACCTTAATTACGTCAAAAAGTTAAAAATCTCGACCAAATGTTTTTAGTTCAGAATCTTTGCATTTTCTTAAATCGAATAGTGTAATTATCAAAGGTGCTGAGCTCTAGAACCTAACTCTTTTTAATCCTTTTATTGGTTATTGGTTGTAACATAACACCAGTGTTGCCAGAAAAAAATTTCGTTTGGAGCTAAATGGGTCGAAAGAAAGATCTAAAATGGGCTAAATAATAGTGGTAATAGTAGCTAAAATGAAGAGCTAAATATTTTTTTAAAGTTAAGTATTTATTGACCTAAACCTGCCTTTGCATTTCCCGCAATTTTAAGAAAAATAAAGAATTTTATGAATTTAGGTGATGGAAAAAACTTTTACAACGATAATATGGTGCATTTATTTACATATTTCAAATTCATTGCTACGGCACTGATATTATTTATATGTATGCATATACTTATATAAACTAGACGATGAACTAAAAATATTTAACAAACTGTTTAAATCTGCAATAGCATATATTTGAACTGACCATAAAAACTCGGGTCACGAATCATTTTTTCGCAAAATTTTTTGAAATGTTTTATTTCCTTATCTCCTTAAGGTAATATTAGTAAGGTACAAACAAAAACCACGCGTTCAGAAAAAGGATTTTCTTCTAATTAATTTCTGAATTCCTTAACCTAGATTCAAGAGTTTATGATGGACTCCATTTCGAAATTTAAAATTTGATCAACGCTTAAGTTTTGGCTGTCTTTTTCCACCGTAGCCACATGAGAGATAGCACACCGTCTGAGCTCATCGGAGCTCGAATTACTTCCCGGTGTAGTTTCTGTGCTCCCGCGCACGTGGTAGAAACTAATCGACTTACTTGCCCGTTTTCCATTTGCCATTTCTAACTATTAATCGAAATAGAATAACACGAAGGTATCGAAAATAGTCTGAGATCAGCAGAGCTAAATGAATTTTAGTCAACACTTGTACAATGAAATTATAGATTTTTAATTTCAATATAACGGGTGATTTTTTTGAGGTTAGGATTTTCATGCATTAGTATTT